AAACATAATAGTGCTTCGTTTTATAGAAAAAAATAAAAAGGGGGTGCCGTCAATTACTACAGAGTAGTGTAATACACATGCACTGTTCTTCAGTTGACTGTTTTTTGCGCTTTCTGTCGGCTTATTCATGCATGTTTTTTTCTTTCTGTTATAACACGACATATAGAGGTTTTTTTTTAGAGCAACGTTTCCTTAGAAAAAGAATATTACCATATAAAGAAAAAGAAATTTTTCCATGGACTCGAGTACTGATAGTAACTTACGGCAGAAAGAATATATGATTATTCATAAATTAATCCAATGCGTGAATCAACTTACACAGTTAGTTTTTAGCACTGATGAATATGTCTGAATATTCATCTAAGAAATAAAAAACACAACACGATGGAGTACAACGAAAAAACAAGAACAAATGAGATCATAAACATATGTCAGCATTTGATTGTAATCAAATAAAATCGTCAAACGATGACAGATAGATATAGGGAACTTCGAATTTTAGTAAACAACCGAATTCAGCAGGAAAAAACGTTGTTGTGAAAAAGCTTAAAATTAAATTTCAAGAAAATTATGGTCATCCTCAATCTTTACCAAATGATTACAGGAGCCTGAACTTTTTTTTATTTTCATTTTTAAATGAATTCTATTTCTTTCAAGGCTCAGCGACAGTCTTTGCGTTAACTTAGCGATTTGTCTATACATTTGTATTGATTAATTTTTCAAAATTTTACTTTCGAAAAATCAATCGGTTATTCTCAATAATAATAATTATTATTATTTTAGACGTTATAAATATTCATAATAGAACTTATTAACTTTATACTATAACATCGATATTTAACTAAAATTACGAATACTTTAATAAATGTATATGATCATTAAATTGATTCATTTTTATTGTATGTATAGTGAAGGAAAATACAAAATGAAAGCAGAATTTTTCTGTTGTTAGTTTTATATATGGCTAGATAGAATGTGATGAGTTGGTCAAGAATAAATATGTTTTCATTTTATTGGAATAACTTTTTAGGAGAAATATTTCAGTTTTTTTTTCAATTACCTACTTTTTCTGAAAAAGAAGTCAATTTTCGATAACTGACAAATTGTCAATTGGTTTTTCTTTTCTTCAAATTTCAAGGAAAAAAAATAATAAAAATTAACCTCTTTCTTCGAAAAAGTAGGACATTGGAAAAAACTGACACATTTCTCCTAAAAAGTTACTCCAATAAAATGAAAACATATACTCTTGATCAGGTCGTCACACTCTACATAACCATATATAAAGTGTGGGCAATGCAAATTTCGAGTAAAATTTTTTTACATCATTTGATAGAGCGTAAGCTGCTGACCATGAAAAACTACTTTTTAGCGTTAGTAAATACTTTTTTTGGGTCGAAAAATACGAAAAATTTCAATGGTGTCATTTTTTTTCAAAATATGCAAAATTTTCTACTTCATGTTTTCTTTCAAACTCAGCATAAAAAACTGACTGCAAACAAATTGTTAAATCGATTCTAATCTCAAAAATATTTTGATAGTAGCGCTTCGATTCGCAATGGATGTCTTACGTATAAGGTCGATTTTGTAAACCTATATAGGTTTTCTGCATAAGCGATGAAGTCGAATATTTTGTCTGATTCGATGCATCATACCTCCAGTTACAAAAGTATGTATCGCATTTTTTTTTCTTTGTTGGAAAAAACCTATTTTTCTGAATTTTGGACGAAGTAGATCGAATTTTGCCCGTATTTCTCCATAAAAACAAAGCGTTCATGCAAAAATCTTATCATATTCTGAATCAGGGCGAAAAATCGAATCGATTGATATATAATTTAACATTTTCTGTTGACTTCAGTTTTTTTTTCAGTTTTCAGATGATAACCTGGCTGAAACTTTCATCAAAACATAAAAGATAACGAAATTTCTTAAAACATACATTAATCGATTCAGTTTTTTCGCGCTGATTTCGAATATGATAAGATTTTTGCATGAAAGCTTAGCTTTTATGAAGAAATATGGGCAAAATTCTATCTATTTCGTCCAAAATTCAGAAAAACAGGTTTTTTCCAACAAAGAAAAGAAAAAATGCGATGCATACTTTTGTAACTGGAGGTATGATGCATCGAATCAGACAAAACATTCGACTTCATCGCTTATGTAGAGAAACTATATAGGCTTACAAAATCGACCTATACGTAAGACATCCATTGCGATTCGAAGCGCCACCATCGAAATTTTTTTTTGGGGTTAGACTCGATTTGACAACTTGTCTGTACTCAGTTTTTTATGCTGAATCCGAAAAAAAAACGGATGAAGTAGAAAATTTTGCACATTTTGAAAAAAGATTCGTTTTTTTTCAAAAAGAACCCCTTTCAAGTTTTTAGTATTTTTCAACCCAAAAAAAGTATTTACTAACGCTAAAAAGTAGTTTTATTATTTATGTAATTATCGAACAGTAAATCGTATATATGATCGTCATGTACCGAACGAAGAAATATAATGATTAGCATGCTTTTTTTCTTACTATTTAATATCTGTGTTATTTATAATCATAGTGAATTAATATGCGATGCAACAGTTTTTAAAAAAATGTCAAACTCTATGAAATCATATTGCTGACTTCTAAATCAAGAAAAGTTTTTTTCTTATTATTAGCAAGAACAATTTTTTCAGAACGAATCTGACGAGGAAGAAAAGTCCAAAGCCAAACACCTTCAAAAATTCTTGTAACTTCACTATTGAATAACAGCATTTTTTATTTCCTGTGATTTTTTTAAAACAGAAAGAAAATGAAAAAAACACATTTAATACTAATTTTTGTAGCGCAAAGAGTGCACCTTCCAATAGTGTACTAGAAGTTGAGATGATTCTTGGTTTTATACCAAAATTTAGCTTTTCCTAAAAAAATGACTGAGTAAGTTGATCGTTCTTACTACTTGATTGTTTTATAACGGTAAAACTAAATTTCTATGATGTGACATATTTTGAATAAACAACGCAACAAGAATTCACTTCATGCATAATTTCTAGACATGATGGCTTATGTTCTTGCAAATTAATATTTCTTGGAAAATGTTGCTTTTTTTTGCAGAAATTTTATTTTTCAAACTGTTTTGATTAAAGAGTCAACAATAGATCTAACAAATTTTGCCAAAACTGATCTTGATAGAGTTTTTGATATATTTTTGTTCTAATTTGATTCATCCATGTAACTTCAAATAATTCAGAAATACAGACTTTTCAAGTTGGAAAAACATTGCAAGAACTTTTTTAGAGGTGTTTGGTTTTGGACTTATCCTCCTCGTCAGGTTCCTTTTGAAAAAATATGTCTCGTACAAATTTATAGTTCAAACATCGCTCGTTCAAACGAAAAAAAATCTTTCTTGATTTAGAAGTGAGCAATAAAGTATAACAGAATTTGACATTTTTGCAAAGACTCTTTTCATCGCATATTATTTAACAGGAATATATGTATATTGTTTATGTATGCGTAGATTCAAAGGAATAAACGATAACATTTTATTTTCATTAACCATCACTTTCACAGTTATATAGAATAAGTAAATGAGAAGAGATCAGATTTTTACGTTCATTTGACAGGGAAAAATGAAATAGCTATGTAATTGTTATTTTCTATTTATTTCCCTAAATTAAATCTTTTGAAAACTAAAGATGAGCATTTTTCAATAACAACGTCGGCTATACTGAATATCTGAATCATCAATATAGACTGTAAAGCAACGTCAATAATGCGAACGATGGGAAAAGTTTTCTTTATACTCTAATTGCTTTCTATAACATTATATTTGTTTAAATCAAAATTTCAATATTGATCTTCTATACATCTGTAAACATCATCCACAAAAGTTCATAATTTACATATTTGATATTGAATCAACAAATCTTAAATAATATTTGTTAATTAGCAGTTAGATTTTGGTTTAAGCCGTCGAGTTGAACAATAAAAGATTATCGTTTTCAAAAATATTTATCAACGTTTCTATTGAAACTATGAATAATAGTAGAAATTTTATTAGTAAATATATTTTTACGCTATTCGTTTTTAATGAACGTCGTGGTCCCCTCAGGAATATTAAACAAAATTGGTTTTCGAATTGCGACTTGAGATTTTGCATAGAAACAGATCTTAACGAGAATAGTTTATTGTAGAAGTTTCAAGTCTTCTGATTAACTTCTATCCTGAAATAAAAATATCGAATCTGTCGATGTTTATGAGCGATGTAAAAGATATACTATTACCATAGCTCAATCTTAAGATAGGAACAACGAAAAGATCTGAAACTTTCACGGCAAATTATTCTCATTAAAATCTGTCTCTGTACAAAGTTTTAAGTCGAAAATAAGTTTTTCTAATTCACAGCACTCATTTCAAAGATATCATAAAAGTGCACTATCTTCGTAAGCAATAAACCAAGGACACGAACTCTTTTCAGGATATTCATAGCTCATTTGAATCTGCATAATGTACATAGTCTCAACTCAAAAACGATTCAACAAATCCAAGACTTTCCTCGTCAAGCCGTCTATTAATTTTTTTTATTTCTATTACACTATAGAGTATTTCTATTAATTTTTCCGATATCATCACTAAATACAGTTAAAATATTACATCTATACACAAGTTTCAAAAAATCAATTAACTACTTAAGATAAATACTAACCAGTTTGTATTTAATATATTAAAGTATTGATATTACATATGAATTGATTTCAATGTAATGCATTCTTATAATACAAATAAGCTTTCTTATTGCTAATGAACGCAAAAACTACGAACAAACACGAAGCATATTATTGATTAATTGTTTATTTCTATACAAACGAGCTGAATTATAATGTAAATTAAAAGAAAACAGTGACTTAGCTTGAATAGAATAATACTATTGAAAAACAATATATCAATATCACAATACAAATAAGCAGCTAGACTATATATATATATATAAAAAACAAATAAATGAATCTGATAAATTATCTATTTATAATTCAGTTGCTTTTCTTTTAGCTTTTTGTAATGCTTCACTCTTTTCTTCAGCAGTTTCTGCAGCTTTTTTCTTTCCTTGTTTTTTCGTTTCTTGAGCATATTCTTTAGCTGATTCAAGTGCATCTTCGCCTAAAAAGTCAAATAAATAATTGAAATGAAATAATATTCAATATCTAATGATAATGCTTACCAGCATGTCGACCTGTTTTCAAAGCTTCATTAGCTGAAAATATATACAAATAAATAGGATATACTTAAACAAGACACACAAACCTTTATCTCTGCCTAATTCAACAGTTTGCTCCGCTAATTGACGAAAATTAAAACAAAACCGATCAATATCAATTACATATCAAAAATAGACTCCCTTACCCAATTTTCGACCTTTTTTAACACCATCAGCACCATATTCAAGTGAGGCTTCATATGCCTCTGCACCTACAATAATTAAACAATAATTTTGTACAGAAAAAAAACATCAAGACAAATTCAAATTACCTGATTTTTTCGCAGCTTTGAGTGCTTCATTAGCTACAAATAGAAAAAAATAAAATTAAAATCATCAGTTACAGAAAATGATAAATATTACCTTTATCTTTTCCAACTTCAAAAGCTTGTTCACTCAATTTTTGACCTTGTTTCAAACCTTCTTGAGCATATTCTTGACTAGCTTTAGCTGCATCAGAAGCAAAATCTTGAGCTAAATAAAATCAAAATCAATTTCATATTAAGATCAAATGAAATATTTTATTTTATTTTTTTTTACCTGAAGCTTTAACATCATCAGCAATTTTAGCTAATTTTTCTTTTGCTAAAATATCAGATAAAAAACTTATTTAATCAACATACAAAGATACTTACCAACATCAGCATATTCATCAGCAAGTTTACCTAAAGTATGAAAATTTATTTCCACAAAAATGAAAAATAAAATATAAAATTCTTACTTCCAGCTTTATAGGCTTCTCCTGCTTTGTCTTTCAAATATTCTGCACCATCGTCTACTTTTGGTTTAATAGTATCATATGCTTCACTAGCTTTGTCCTTCAAATATTCAGCTCCATCAGCAGCTTTGTCTTTAACATATTCAGCACCTTCAGCAACTTTAGGTGAAATGGTATCATATGCCGTATTAGCTGCATCTTTTACCTGAAAATATTGATATATATATTATGGAATAGAATGTTAAGAGAAAGAAATAAATATAACGTACTGTTTCAACAACTTTATCTTTCAGTTCAGCAGCAGTTTCAGCAGCTTGTTCAGTTGTCGACTTCTTGGCTAATGTAGCCGAGAGAAAAAGGATAACACAAATAATTGATAAAAATTTATTCATTGGTATGTTTGTTTTTTGTCGAAATTAATAGTTCGATTTTTTAGTTAATAGATCTAAATGAAAGTAATATATTTGGTAACAAGAATAAAAATAGTGCGCCAAATTGTTCGAGAATATGTCTATATGAATGAGAAATAAAAAACAGAAATGTCAATGAGGACAATTTGTTCGAGTCACGTGTTTAAATGAAGACAGGGACACGTGACTAATCATGCGCAGTTATACAAAAGCTAAACTCAGAGATGCACTGGATCAATGAATAGAAGTTTTCTTTATAGATAGCGCATTCACTATTTATATAATGTATTTCATTTATTATTATTTTCTATATAAATAATTTGTCTAATTCGTTTTCTTAACGACCTCTATTGTATACACTTTCAATCAAACTTTGATTGGTCAATAATTACGTCAGTTATCTCGCAATAAAGCAAAACGTTGTGTTGTGTCGACGCTTCTTTTTTTAATATGATCTTCTTTGATTTTATTATCAATTAATATGATTCTATACGATGAATCAAAAACAAGAGATCTATTCAGTCATAGTCTTATAGATGTACTCTATGATACTTGAGGACATTAGTAAGAATAAAAAACAATTTAATAAATCGAAGTCAAAATGTTTGTGTAAAAGCGTAGAATAGAAGGCGAATTGCATCGAAAGTTAACCTAGGTTTAACATTTCTTTTAGAATAATGAGAGAAATTTTATTTGGTATAACAAATGATTCATATTTCGTGCAAGATGAAAATCAATTTTTTGTTCAAACGGATTGACATTTTTTAGAACTTGAATTTATCAATGATTCACTTCAAGATATCGAATATGATTGCATTTATGAAAAGAACATCGTCATTGTTAAATAAGTGTGTCGGTACGATAATGGAGCATATCAATACGCACACTCATTCACACCTTTTAGTTAAATTACTGTAGATGACACAAATACAATAAAAGAAAAAGAACCAATCATCAGCTCAACGTTCACATTTTCAATCAAGATACTTCAGCATTCACCAATGAAAGACTGAGAGTGTGCATGTGAACCTTGTCTTCATTCTCACCCACTCACATCCGTACTCTCATTCACGAACTTGCAATGACGGATAAAAGATTCTAGTTGAACATGCTGAAAAAAAACAATTACAAATCAGTTTTACTTGGGAGGTTTCTCATGATGTATTCTCATTCGAATTACACCCCAAGTTTTTAAAAAGTATCATTACAGCCTTTGTTTTTTAGTTTTTAAAGTGTTATAATACGATACAGAAAAAGCTTACAACTTAAAATCTTTCTTCTGTTCATACGGAATTATGAATGTTGAATAAGTAAATAAGTATTGTACCACCGATCAGTACCAGATAGCACTACTCTTCTCATGCTTGTTATAGTAATAGATGTGGATTGTAAATGTTCTTGCAGCCATCCGACAACATCAAATTCAGGTTCTGTTTTAGACGATGTATTCCACTTAACATCTTTAAATCGAATATTTAATACTTGAAGATTCTTCATATTAGTAACAAGATCCAGTAAACATGTTAAACTGTTGACATTAATAACAAGCATTTTACACTGAGCACCAAGTGTCGAACGGCTCAGTCGAATGCATTGTTCGTTGTTATAGTATGTACCATCAATTATGGAACTGAAATCTAGTTCAGATATAGATGAACACTTCATTCCGAACAACAATTCTTCTATCATTGTCAATGGCCATTCTCTTACTTTAATTGATGAGAGACGTGGAGCTCGATTGAGTAAGAGTTTCATCTGATGTAAACTATTCTGCTTATTGTTCAATGATACATTCAAAGATATTAATTGGTCAAGTGTTGGAACCACAGTATAAAAATAATCATTAACGAGAAACATGATAACAAGATGTTGAATATTGCAAAACTGAATATGAGATGGTGGCAGACAATTACTTGGAGTAGAGTTGTAGTTGAGTGTACGCACAGAATGATATGACAATGGATTATAACTAAGAGGATATGTCGATTTCGAGTAGGTAGGAAAATAAAAACAGAAATTATCAAAGCTGTATGGTATAGAATAGAGATAATAACTTCCTCTCATTGGGCTCCAATCACATTGAACAAACCATTGATGTTCAACAAGCCAAAATGCCCTTCGAAATGAGTTCAATAGTACATCAACATTTTTTTCTTGATCATGATAGCCTGCATTAATTTGAATTTGTGTTTTCCATTGAAAATATTTGAGTTTAGGTAAATACTTAATAATAATTTTTTCCCAGATATTTCCATCTATAAAAATAGATCCCGTATCCAATGTCAAATCACGTAAATGAGGCATCATTTTTAAAAGATTTACTACATCACTGATATTTGAACGATTAAATAATACTTTCAACTTGCTTATTGAACTTATATATAAACTTTCATGAGCTGCTGAAATTGAACCAATAAATTTTACAGAAAAGTATTGAAGACGCGGTACAGTTTGGAGTAGATGAACTATTTCACTAAATTCATTGAATTCTTGAAAACAATAAAACCGACGAATACTTGATGAGATCACAGTTGGAATGACAATAGACACATTGATTTTTTCAAAATAAATGTCGAAATAGCAAGAAGCAAGATTAGGTAGTCTCCAGATACTATTTATGAACAAAAGAGCATCACGATCACTATAGCAAACGCTACATCGGTCAAAAATGAGATGACTAAGATTCGATAAATGAGGCAAATCTAAAATGATTTTGTTCATTGTCTGTGATGAATGAATGTATGATAATGAAAGCAATTTCAAATGACTAAATTGACGTAAAGTAAAACCATGTGTATAAAATTGATCGATTTGGTTAGATGTATCAAAACCATCCGAGAAATATAGTGCCTCTACTCTATTCATCAGTTGTGGTAGAAATTGCACACAATAAATGTCAAAATCTTGTTTTGATGCTAAGCAAAAATCGATATTTGTATTCAGTTTTAAATGTTGTAGAAAAAGATCACGGAAAGAAGATTGAGACCACGAAATGCATGAAGTAGATGAGCAAGAGAGAGATATTTGAACACTACATGAAATAACTCAGGTGGTAACAATTCGAAACTCATTTTTTCATCATTCGTCGACATGATCTATAGTAGTAGAAATCTAATCGAATGACAAGTTTTATGTATGTTGTAACTTTTATAGAAGGTAAACATTATGTAACTCATTTCTTTCCTTTCTCCACATCTGTCTCTGTTTGTGGTATTTTTTCTGCAGAGATTTTTTATTTTGGTTTTTTTTACTTGTATTACCTGCAATGAAATTTATCAATGTGACAAGTGCAAAATAAAAAGAAATTATAATATATTTGTTTCATATGCTCAGCTACTAATTTGTCAAATTGACTGTGAAGCACTCAGAAGTAATTGTTTGCATGTTTATACATAGAAATGGCTTGATTACGAAAAAAAAAGCAATTTTTATATTACGCAGAAACTGAAAAAAGGCTAAACAAAATGACGAATTGTTAATGTGGTTCAACAATATCGAATGAATCCTGTCTCGTTCAAATTATGAACAATTCGAGTATTGAAAATTATCTCCATCGAATTAAATCGAACCCGATGGTTATTTCTTGAATTCGCTTGAATCAAAGTTATTGTTCGAGATAAAGTACATTTGATTTTTTCCAATCACTTTGTTTTTATCTTGTACAAAGTGTATGCAACATCATGAAAGAACGAGGTTTTTTATAATGAAAGCAATCAACGAACATGATTAGTGTCGGAGAGATGTCTGAGAAAGAAAAGAATTGATGATATGTATTCAAGGTTAAAAAGCATATGGGATGTCGCAATATTGTTTACATAATGTTACATCACCTTTTTAGTCTTTTTTTGGCCGCTCTGTGAAGCATAAATCATTGATAAATACAGAGAACCATACTGAATATAATGGAAACATTTTGAAAGAAGCATGATGAAAATCCAAGGAAAACATTAGTGGGAAAACGTTATATACATCATGTATTAAAACTTTGAGTAAGTATAGAAAACGATATGTAAATATGTGCTTGTAGCAATATTATATTTGTCTGTATGAGAACTAATGTAATTGAAGAACATATATTGCTATTAGTGTTGAGTTGTATTCTACTGTAATCCAATATATCAGGAAAAATGAATTGTGAAAACAATATTCGTCGTTATCATTTGTTATTCGATATTATTTCGTTACAAGTTTTGCTTTTTCTCCAAATTATTGTTCCAGATTTTTTTCATTTTCTGGTTTTTCACTTCCCGATTTCGATCTATTCAAGGAATATGATATTGACTTGCTTAAAGTACAATATTATGATCTATTTTTATATGAATATTAATGAAATCCTAAAAGCAAAAATGGCAACATATTTTGAAGCAAATATTAATTCTTTTTAAAAGACATGGGACAAATAGTGAGAGTATTTTTGTATGTTCCTGTTGTTATGATAGACGATTGAGGATTGTCTAGCTGCTTAAGTAGTGATCATACTTTCTAGTAACACCAGAGACTACTGCATGTGGATGTGGGTCTTGTCTTCGTCCACATCCAGAATATCGAATGGCTGAAATGGTTAAAAAATTATTCACAAATGAATATGAAATTCTACTCTGATTTTGAATGATTGACAGTCAAATGCAACTTTAATTTTCTGCACAACTCGATTTGGAATAGCAGATTCATTTTCTGATGATGCGTAAAATTCATTGATACTTGTTTGGGTATCAGAAACTGTTATTTTTCTATTTTTGACAATTTCGGATATGCTGGAACAATGAATTAATATCAGAAGATGGTTTATAAATAAGTAAGTGTTCATATGGATTTCATACAATAGAGTCATTCGCACGTTCAACTTTTGGAATCCACATTCGATCCCATGCAGTTGATTTCAAACGCAAAAACCTTATTCGTTTAACCCTTGTGTTTTTGTGATAGGGTGTACTGGGATGAAATTCATTTTCTATATTCATTCCAAAACATGTTTACCAGAAAAGCAAAAGAATCAACACTTAAGCCATTACTGTTGCATTAAATGTTATCGGTTAATATTGTTGAAAAGTTTTGATGAATAAACAAGAACAATATTATTGTGATTTTTAGTATCATTTCAAATGATACTATGTAGATCTATATAGTTAATTTGAAATATATCTGCCTCGACTTCAATGGTTTAATTCGTATTGTATAAAAAAAGCACGATAAGTTATGTAATTGCTTCAGAATTTTTTGTAGAATTGCTATGATTCATACAGATAACATGAACCGATAGTTTTATGACACATTGATTTTTACATCAGCCATGAATAAGTACATATGAGAACGATAGATTGCGTTAGGAAAAATGAATTCAACACTTTTCATAGTTCAAACCGCACCCACGCACGAGTCGGATCGAGTTGTAGGATTGTTGTACAGAACAGAAATGCTCACAGGGTGAACTTTTACGCCCTGAAGAATCGATATTCTCTCTTATCGATTTTTTTAAATTCAGTTCAACAGTAACAACGTTCGTACATTATAGCATAGAAAATTGTTTTATTTAAATCTATTTTACAATATAAATAACTAATAGTTCAACTAACAACAGATATCAGTATTACCAAAAAATTAGGGAAATAAATGACATATAGTCAGCCACAAAAAATCTAAGCGAATTTATTTTTTCTCATATTTATTTTTTCAAATTTTTTTTTTCACATTATTAAAAGGTAGGCATCTGATTGAAATAGTGATATAGAATAGTATGAGATACACTACAATAGGAGGAGACTCAATTTGTCTATATAGATTTTTCATGCTCAAACACGCAAAAATAGGTTTCAATGCTTTCCAATATTTTGCATTTCCTAACCAAGATATTGGTGCTGAAATGGAAACAAAATAGACCAATCGATAGAGAATTTCACGCTCTATCTATTTCTAAAAACAAGGTTTTCTTCCTAGAATTGGTCTTCACTTCAAATGTTTGATTTTAACGAGAATAGTCGGAGAAACGAAAAAACTGTAATTAATTCTTACAAGTTCTCTCTTATCGCAATTTATTACACGCCATTGGAAAGAGCATTTAAAAGAGAACAAAATCATGTATTTGAAATTCTAATCGGACTGGTTTTTCACGTCCATCGTTTTTAAAAAAGTGTTGGAAAACACTACTAACTTTTCTTTTTTAATTTTTTTGACGAAAAAAAAGGTGGTTCATTTTTTTCCACTATTCTCGATAGAATCAAACTTTTGAAGTGAAGATCAACTCTAGGAAGAAAACCTTGTTTTTAGAAATAGATAGAGCGTGAAATTCTCTATCGATTGGTCTATTTTGTTTTCATTTCAGTACCAATATCTTGGTTAAGAAATGCAAAATATTGGAAAGTATTTAAATGGATTTTTTGCGTGTTTCAATATGAAAAAATCTATATAGACGGATCGAGTCTCCTCCTATTGTAATGTATCTAATACTATCCATATCACTATTTCATTCAGATCCCTACCTTTTAATAATGTGAAAAAAAAAACTTGAAAAAACAAATATCAGACAAGAATTGAAAAAATAAATTTGCTTAAGTTTATGTCATTGACTATAATATAAGCAAGTTAGATTCACCAGCTTTACTATAGATCTTCATTTGAACAAAAGAAAAAAAAAAGTAAGACAACTACTATCTATAAGAAAAAATAAATACCAGCTAGTACCGTTCTCTGTAATCTATTTTCGGTTTTTGATTCACATAGACCTAAAAAAACTCTCTTTTTGAAAATAAAAATTCCGAAACGTGATATTCAAAGTTACACGATATGAAGATCTCACCTTGTCCTGTAAGCATCTCTGGTAGATAGTTACTGACAGCCATCATAACGCCAGGCAATCTGAGTACTGTCAACACAGTTGGAATCTTTCTTCTTACGATAATAACAACATTGAATGAACCCATCTTCGTTCTATTTGTGCTCAAATTCTATCTGTCTATTTGTATTGTGATAAACACAAAATCGAGTCGATATTCTTGTTCATCATTGCCCCTCAATTATAGCTCGAATGTTGATGTTTTGCCGATGATAGTAAGACATTTATTGTTAAATTGCTTTGTTTTCTTTTTCTCTGTATAGAAATTGAACAGTGATGCTGATCTATCTGCTTACTTCTCACCATCGACGATAACAAATATACAACGTATCTATGAAACGTAATCATATTCAATACATTCAGTAGACAATGTACACATATAACACACCATAAACTGTTTCGAAATTTGTATAAATCAAGATAAAAACGAGTTTTAAAAAGTTCATTTTATAACTCGTCATATCTACTTACCATATAT